GAAAGAGAAAGGGTCAGGAAATTTATTTAAAGAAATAATGGCTAAAAACTTTCCAAATCTGAAAGAAATGGGCATACAGATTGATGAAGCCCAAAAGATCCCAAATGGGTTGACCAAAAGAGGTCCACTCTGAGACACATTATAAAACTAAAATGTCAAAAATTAAAGACGGAGAGAGGGTTTTGAAAGCAGCAAGAGAAAAGTGACTCATCATATACAAGAATAAGGCTATTAGCAGATTTCTCAGTAGAAACCTTAGAGGCTTGGAGGGAGTGGTAAGATATATTCAAAGAGCTAAAGAAAAAACTGCCAACCAAGAATACTATACACAGCAAAACTGTCCTTTAAAAATGAAGGCAAGATAAAGATTTTCCCAGACAAACTAAAACTGAGGAAGTCTGTCACCACTAGACCTGCCTTACAAAAAGTGTGAAAGAAAATTCAAGTTGAAACAAAAGGATGCTAAATGCAACACAAATGCATATGAAAGTATAAATCTCACTGGTAAAGGTAAATATGTAGACAAACAATACTGTAATGCTGTAATGGTGGTGCATAAATAACTTTTAACACTAGTGTAAAATCTAAAAGAGAAAAGTAGTAATAATAACTATAACCACAAAAATTTGTTACTGGATATATAGTACAGAAGAGGTAAAATTTGACATGAATAACATAAAGTATGTGTAGGAAGTCCAAGTGCAGGGTTTTGTATATGATTGGAATTATAGGTTTAAAATAGATGGTTAAAAGCTCTGAAGTCCAGTTGAGAGGTCAGCTTTACCTATTAGTAATTAATTTAAATGTAAATGGATTAAAATCTTCAATCAAAAGACACAGAGTGGCTGAATGGGTAAAACAACAAGATACAACTATATGCTTGCTATCTATGAGAAACTCATTTTAGATTTAAGGATACACATAGGCTGAAAGTGAAGGGGTAGAAAAACATATTCCATGCAAATGATAACCAAAAGTGAGCAGGGGTGTCTATACTTATAATCAAACAAACTACAGTATATGTTAAAAACTGCCAGAAGAAATAAAGAAGGTTATTACATAATGGGAAAGGGTCAATTCACCAGGAAGCTAGGACAATTATAAATATATAAGCATCTAAACATCAGAGCACCTAAACATGTAATCCAAACACTGACTCTGTAGGGAGAAATAGATGGCAACACAATTACAACAGGAGACTTCAATACTGTACTTTGAATAATGGAGAGATCACCCAGACAGGAAGTTAGGAAATAGCAGACCTGAACACCACCAAATGGGCCTAACAGGCACATACATACATTCCATACAACAGCAGTAGACTATACATTCTTCTCAAGTACTCATGAAACATTCTCTTGGAAAGATCACATGCTAGGTCACAAAAACAGTTTTACAAATTTAAGAAGACTGAAATCATCCCCAGTATCTTTTCCAACAACGGTAGAAAAAAGCTTGAGATGAATAACAGAAGAAAAAGAGAAAAAATCACAAAAACATGGAGACTAAACAAGATACTCCTGAACAAACATCTGATCAAAGATGAAAGCAAAAAGAAAGTAGAAAATATCTTGAGACAAACAAAAAACATAACATACCAAAACTTATGGGATGCAGTGAAAGCAGTACTAAGAAGGAAGTTTATAGCAATGAACACCTACATTAAAAAAATTTTTAAAATCTCAAATAAACAATATAACATTACACATCAAAGAACCAGAAAAAGAACTAAGCTCAAAGTTAGGAAAAGAAAGGCAATAATAAAGGTTAGAGTATAAATAAGTGAAACAGAAAATAGAAAAACAATAGAAAAAAATCAAGGAAACTAAGAGCTGTTTTTTAGAAAAGATGACAAAACTTTACTTAGATTAAAAAGAAAAAAAAACAAAGAAGACTCAAATAAATAAAATCATTTAAATGGAAGGGAGACACTTCAACTGATGCTACAGGAAAGAAAAAAGAATCATAAGAGACTAGCATGAACAATTATACATTAACAAATTAGACAACCTAGAAGAAAAGGATAAATTCCTAGAAACATATAATCTATCAAGACTGAATCAAGAAGAAAGAGAAAGCTTGCACAAACCAAAAACAAGTAAGGAATTTGAATCAGTAATCAACAACCTCCAAAGAAGAAAAGTCTAGGAACAGATAGCATTACAGGTTAATTCTATCAAACGTTTAAAGAAGAATTAAAACCAAGTCTTCTTAAACTCTTTCAAATAATAGAAGGGGGAACATTTCTAAACTCATTTTATGAGGAGAGTATCACCCTGATATCTAAGGCAGAAAAAGACACCATATGCAGAGAAAAATATAGGCCAATAACCTTGATAAACAAGGATGTGAAAATTATCAACAAAATATTAGCACATCAATTCCAACAGCATATTAAAAGGACCACACACTGTGACCAAGTGGGATTTATCCCTGGGGTGTAAAGTTGGTTCAACACACACCAATCAGTCAATGTGATATGCCAAATTAACAGACAGAATGATAAAAATCACAAGATCGATCATCTCAGTAGATGCAGAAAAAACATTTGACAAAATTCAACATCCTTTTATGATAAAAATTCTTAAAAATTAGGTATAGAAGGAACTTACCTCAACACAACAAAGGCCATATGTGAGAAGCCCACAGCTAACATCATATTCAGTGGTGAAAAACTGAAAACTTTCCCTTTAAAATCCAGAATATAGCAAGGATGCCCACTCTCATCACTTTTTTTTCAACACGGTAATGGAAATCCTTGCCAGAGCAATCAGGCAAGAAAAGGGAATAAATGGTATGCAACGGGGAAGGGTAAAATTATCTTTCAGATAATGTGATCTTGTACGTAGAAAAACCTAAATACTCTATAAAAACTGTTGGAACTAATGGACAAATTCAGCAAAGATGCAGGATATAAAATCAACATACAAAAATCAGCTGCATTTCTACACACAAACAATCTGAAAAAGAAATTAAGAAACAATCTCATTTACAATAGTATTAAAAAGAGTAAAAATTCTTCGAAGTAAATTTAACCAAACAGGTGAAAGTCCTGTAAACTGTTAAGTATAAAACACTGATGAAAGAAATTAAAGTAGTCACAAATAAATGGAAAGATATATGGTGTCATGGATTGGAAGAATTCATATTGTGAAAATGTCCATACTACCCAAAACAAACTTACGGATTCAACACAAACCCTATCAAAATTCCACTGAACTTTTTTTTTTTTTTTTTTTTTTTTCAGTCCGGGGGCCTCTCACTGTCGTGGCCTCTTCCGTTGCGGAGCACAGGCTCCGGACGCGCAGACTCAGCAGCCATGGCTCACGGGCCCAGCCTCTCCGCGGCATGTGGGATCTTCCCGGACCAGGGCACGAACCCATGTCCCCTGCATCGGCAGGCAGACTCTCAACCACTGTGCCACCAGGGAAGCCCTGAACTTTTTTTTATAGGAATAGAAAAAACAATCCTAAAACTCATATGGAACCACGAAAGATCCCAGATAGCTAAAGTGTTCTTAAGAAGAACAAAGCTGAAGGCATCACACTTTCTGATATCA